TCATAGGTTGTCAGCTACAGGTCTTCTTACCTTTGTTCAGATGACGTAGGCAAGGAAGCATTACGATGCTAGAGAACCTAAACAAAAACAAATGGGGGCACAAAGCAAACGACGACAAAATATCGACAAGTCCCTACTTATGGCACTGGTTGATAGGTGGAGGCTAGAGACACATACATTCCATCTACCGTGTGGAGAAATGACCATAACTTTGCAGGATGTGTCCATGCTCACGGGGCTGCCCCTAGCCGGCCAGGCAATTGTACTTCCGGACCCTCAGAAGATTGGAGAGATGATATTGTATCACGATATGCATGTATTTTGCCACAGTACGCTACCGGTGATACAGACGATGATGAGGACAAAATATTTTTCTCTGAAAAAGAAACTCATGGCCCCACATTGACGTGGTTGTCACAGTTTGAGGTAATTGAATATTTTTAATTAAGGCATATTCCGTTCACATTCACATATCTCACAACACATTGTTTTTTTGTTAGCTGAGATATATGCCCGACGATGTCCAGGAGTACCAACTGACGTTGTACCTTGAGGCTTATCTACTTTGGCTGTTTGGTTAGGTCATGTTCACCGGCTCGCACGGGAACACTGTGGACGCTAGACTAATCCTCCTTGCTCGCCAAATTGCTGAAGGTAATATAGCGCCTTCTGCACAGTTTAGCTGGGGATCAGCCGTCCTTGCAGCCACGTACCGTGGATTCTGCAATGCTTGTATTAAGACCGGACAAAGGGAGGCGATTTTCACGGGGTGTCCACTTTTGGTCATGTTGTAGTCGTACGAGCACTTCTCGTTCGGACGTTCATACATGAGCATGGCCGTGGCCCACCAGGACGATTACAAGGGAAGATATTATAGCATTTCACCCGGAAATATTCCAAGGTATTGTATTTATTTAATTCCAAGGGAAGATATGATAAGAGAGTACTATGATAATAATTTACATCACTTGTATAGATCAAAGTCTATACAGGGGTTAAGCAATATTTATCGGTAGAGATATGTTGACACACAGAAGAAGTAACCATATTTTTCTCATTAAAAATAAAGTCTAAGCTAAGTGGAGAAAGAAAAAGAAAAGAATCATTTCTGTACTTATAGTATATAGCCATTTTAATATACACTTGTTAGTATACAACAATGTAGCCAATACGCCCTAATTATGCCCTCCTGGTGTTTTGAGAGACCACCCCTGATTGTCGAGTTTCTTACGGCAATATGTCATGGCCATCCAACCGGTAATGAATACGGAAGAATACCCACACCAGGAATTTGTCTTAGTACTATATACCCACGTGGAGGAATACCCTGCCACCATCAGCGGCCCACCTCTACTGCCCCGTGGCATATAATACCAATTAATGATATCTAATAATCTAAGCACCACGCATACATTACTAAATACTACTCCATATCGCTGCAGCTGACATAGAGCAATCATCGAAAGCAACATTAAACCCACACCAATGCATATCTCTAATAAGCTAGCCAAATCATTATATCGAGACAAGTAAAATATAAAGTCGGTACTCAGATATAAATGAAGTAAATGACCGAAGCTATGTAAAAAAGAATCTTTCATTGATAATGGTATACGTCTTACAAAAGAAGGAATAGCTACTAGAGCCATATCCGAAATCTCCTGAAGACTCGAAGAACTAAGGAAACTATTCTATTCCTACTCTACTAGCACTAGAACAAATAACTAAACTTGAGAGAGCTCTTTATTCTTCTTCTTGAGTGTGTGTTAGAGTGGAGTGAGGCCTCCTCCTTAAATAGGTTGCCAATGACGGTTGTGGCGGTTGGAATTGTCTAAAATGCCTCGCAACCGTCATTGGGGAGCAATCCTGGATGTTCACGTTGAAGGCCGAGATGAAGGGCCTCAGCTAGGGTTCGGCGAACCTGGGCCGACCCCTCTGGCCTCCAATTTTGGCCGAGGACTTCCTTGTTGGGCCTTATTCTTTGTGGCATGGTAGTTGGGCTTATTTGCAGATGTTAAATAAGTTTTGTAAGCCCAAACATCCATAAGTCTGCCACTCGGTGGTCGTCGATTGATTGTTTGATTATTTTCGACTGATTCTCATCCGTATATGTAGAAATCTCCGTGTTCAAATAAAATTCCAAGTACAAGTGGAAATAGATTATTTCTAACAAAATATGCATTGCAGGTATAGCTAGTTCTCCTTTATTCCGATTATATTGACGGTCGAAATTGGTCTATAACGACTGTCAATAGATTGCCCCCACAAGCATGCCTGGTTGAAAGGTTATAGTAGTAAAGTATTTAGTTACCAAGGATTAGTTTGTCCTCCCAAAACTATGAATTACTTTGTTCTTCTGTGCATGATCCAACGATCTCACGATGGTGGAAGGGCAACCACACTGGGACACGTGGATGTCCAAATCGTCTCTAGCACGAGATCAAACATACGATAGCGGCGAGAACCAGTGCATAATTAACACGAAGTGCGGGGGCTTTTTTGCAAAAATAACTGATGACATGGCACACGTAATTCTCCAGCAATCCCACGGAATTTAGAGAAGTTAATATTTGGGATTTGTCTATTCAGAGTATTTTAATTTCAAATGAATGCTTGGCATCCTTGTAGCGAAGTGTAATCAATATATGTTGTCATTTCTCAGATATTCTTGAGATGTATGTGTTATATTTCTTGCACTTTATCATTGGAAAAAATGTTATTATCTATGACGATGTCTCAAGGTGGTGGTAATAATTCAGTGCATATGGAAATTAGAACTATATATGGAAAATAAGCATATGAACATGAAAATATCGATTATTTTTAATGCAAAACTATACTTATAGAATATGCCTCTACATATTATCTTATCTTATCTTATATAGTGAAAGCAGCAAGCGTTCTTGCACGAGAACACATGAGAATACAGCACATCATCAAAAACATATCAACCGTTGAATAAAGAGTTTAGATAAATAATGGCCATTGGATCACAAGGTTACATATGCATTAAAAAACAGCAATGGGATAAACGTATGGGAATTTCTAGAGGTTTCTAGTGCCTTCTCTTAGACACATGGTACAAAGAAAGCGGGTGCAAAGATAATGAAGGAAAAAAAACAAAGAAGGTTCTAGTGATTTATCATATAGTACGACTAGCTAAACCAACAGATACTTTGTAAATAAAATAACTCATCAAAAACCTCCAGTAAACTAATAGATCCTATACAACAAATAATTCTTATACGGAATCAAAAGTCGCGCAACGCGCGACTACGTGGCTTGTTAGTTTGAATGTACCAATAAAGTATCTCTACAGATACATTAGTTTGAATGCACCAATAATGTGTCTCTACATCTGTAGAGACATGTTACCAGTTCACTGTAAAATGACTCCACCTACAGAAAGTGCCGCTACATTTGTTTTGACAAATGCAGCGTCTCTATGGCAGCCACATATCTCATAGAGGCATTTTATAGTGTCACTATTTGTTATAAAAGTTAGTCGATATAGTGGAACGACGACTAACCTTCCCGATCGCTTCAGTCATTGATCATCCAAGACATGTCAGATGACGACACAGGAACACACGATATTTGTTAACGAGGTTTAGCCGAAGCCTACACCCCCGGGGCTCTGATTATGGGCGCTCCTCCCGAACCAATATAGCTCCTAGCCGCTACAAGTCCATGCCCACGCCACCACCATCTCCCTACGTGTCTACGCTACATTGTAGTCGCCATGGTTACATTGTGGTGCCCCCTCTCTACTTAAGAGAGATGCCGGGTTACAGAGTCCGACTCTAACTCCACCCCGTAACACCTATTACAACTCCAAGTCCAACTGTAACCAAATAAGACTAGTATATTCGACACCTATTCTAACAAACTTCACCTTGGCGAATATATGCCACCTAGAAGTTGTAGAATCACCATACCGATCCACCGGTCCTCCAGACTTGGGTTGTCTTCTTTGCAGCTTCATCACAAGCCGCCCGACGAGTCTGCACCAAACCCGCGCCTTTAAGAGATTCTGCTATCCCTGTAATTTCTTCCTCTTGACTCCACCTGCAACAGTGCTCCACCTTCTCTCATATCACCACAGTCGTCTTGCCAAGCGAAATTGAATTCCTTTCTAGCTGTCACATCATAGACTTCCCGAAAACCATGTTCCACTCCATCTACCATCTTAAATTTGACTTGATCTAATCCATGGCTAGATAACTGATGCCATCACCAAATAGATAAATCAAACTCACCAGACATGAAGAACTGAACCCTTTCGTCCTTGTCGCCCTATGAACCGAGCTAATAAATCTAACATCCTCGCTTTCCCGCATCCGCAGACTAAACCCATGATACTTTGAGAAAATTCACCGTTGCCTTGAATCACTTGAAGAATTACCACGATAGTGCTCACTCTTCCTCTTCAGTGACGTAGATTTTCATATATCCCCATCATGTCGACCCGCATATCCTGAACCGCCAAACAGTATCGTTGACCCCATCAACGATATTTGACCCGCTGTTGTCCGGATCTTTTCTTCAGTCTTGGCTTAACTCCATGTATCTTTAACTCCTCGCCAAGTCCCAGATATATCCTGTTTTCGCCAGATAATTCCATATGCAACCTGACTAGCCTGTTGCCGCCAGTCTACTCACTCTTTACACTTGCAAACTATCCATCCGTAGAACCTTCTTGTCCTTCTTATGAATCTGTTAACAAGTTCCAGCAACGAACCACACGTCCGTTGAACCCGGTTTAACCGTCCAAGCTCCATAGTCTAACCAGTCTGTTGGTCTGACCACCCTGCCGGCCCAATTTAACCGTCATACATGCACACCTCACGCACCTTCTCCTAAGCCATACTCACACACTGCACCACCTTGATCACAACAAAACCGCACCATGCATGCCTCACTGTGCCCAGCCACCTGCCGATGCACCGCTGCGCCAAATTGACTGCATGGCTCGCAACTCCACTGCACAACATCCTCTCGTGCACCACCACGCTGAGTATACAGCGTATCTACTGGTGTTGGTTTTTCACGTGACCTTGGTCTAGTAGTGTCATTCTCATGCATTTAATGGTCCACCGTGTCACAATAGCCCATGCACTTAATTACACTACTAATTACCTCTTGCATGCAACAAGTAAGCTCAGTACCAATCCAAAGTCAGATTGCCACAGAACCTAGCCGAGCCTCCTAAGAGATTGATTCAGTTTCGAGCTTGCACTATCGAATCCAGATTAGACTCCTCCATGCAGTCCAATCAGAACTATACGTGTCCTGATCCAAGTCACGACTCCATCTTCGACACGACGACACCCCTGCAATCTCCGTTTGCGATCGTTCTCTTTGCTCGCTAGTTCTGCTCATGGCTTCCTGCTCAGTCACCGCGCCCTCGTGTACTGTTAGAGTATATGGTAGTTAGGATCATATTAGGATATGATTGATTTGTGTGGACTCCTTCCATATATGTAATCCTTCCTTATCTCCTCCCCCATGTACTCCTATATATATCGCCCCCCTGAGGCTCAATACAATTGTGATCCACGTTACACAGTATCTCTCTCATACTATCTAACATGGTATCAGAGCGGGCGATCTAGCGCCGCTCCCACGCTTCCGCCGCCGCCGCCCCCGGGAGTAGCGATCTCCCAGGGGCGGCCACCCGTTTTTTTTTCTCTTTTCGTCGTCGCCGTTGTCCTGGAGAGATCAATCTCTGGGCGTTCTGCTCGTCGTCAGATCGATCTGAGGCCAATCTTCAGATCGGTCATGCATCTTCTTCTCGTCGTCGTTCATCGTCACGTCAACATGAAGCAGCTAGCAGACCACCATGCCAGCCTCGCCAGGGGAACCCGTTGCCAGTGCCACGCCGGAAGTCGGCGCTCCTCCGGCTCACCCTCCCCCTCCATCGTCGTCAGCCGGCCCCTGCCTTGGCGGCGGCGATCTGGAGGAGTCCGCCGCCCTGACGACCTCCCTGTCAGCCTTCCGCGACCACCGCCCGTCCGCCGGCTCCTCCGCCTAGGCTGCCACCGCTTGTCGTCGTCTCTCCGGCTGGGGACCACCGCCGCCCGGGGGGATCTGTCTCTGCCACTGCCAGGGGGACAGCCGCCTCTTCTCGACGCGTCAGGCCGCCAGCCACCGATGCTCCGCCGTTGCCGTCGGGGCTACGGGGCCGCCGCCTGGCCGGCGGTCGGCGTCGCCTTCCCGGCTCCCGATCTGACCGCCGCCGCCGGGGGGATGGAGCTCGACCCCTCCGGCCAGCCGGCCCTGAGGCCCCCTGTTGGCGCCGGCCAGCCTCCGCCGCACGACCTCCTCCCGCCGAGGCCATCGGCTTGTCGGCGACCCGGACAACGCGGCGTCCTACCGCTCCTCGGCTCCTGTCCCCTTTGTCTCTCTCGTTGTGGTAATGGGAGATGGGAGATGATTGGTTGGCTGGTTGACTTGCCCGTGTGGACTGTGGTGCATTAATGGACTTGGCCCATGTGCTGCTAGTTGGGCTATCTATTAATTGCAACTGCATTGCTGCTGCTGCTTGTATCCGTGTATATCTTTCTTTTATCCCGATCAGTGAACGGGTTTGCGTCGCCCGCCGCCTCGTCGACATCGGCACGTCTCCGACATTGGCATCGACTCTGCTTCGACTTCATCGTTCCGCCTCGCGCATCTTCGGCTTGATCACCCGTTCAAGCGTCCGGCTACAACAACTTCTACAACCGATCATCATCGAGCATGCATCTACACCATCAAGCTTCGGGCTGCCGCTGCGTCGCCCTCTCGGGCTGCAGTGTTGCCGCTCATGGTCCATCTCCACTAGTTGTTGGAACGCTGCAAGGCGCCCTCCTCAGCGTGGCCTCACCACCGGTGAACTTCTCGCCGCTGCATCGACATGGAGCTGTAGCTGTGTTGTGCTCTCGAACCGCAGCTTCGCCGCTTTCATCGTCTTCATCGCCGTTCGCGCATCGACAACCTCGTCATCCGCACTGGTCATCGTCAGCCGCTTAGGGTCTTCTTCCTCTACTTCGAGCATCGCCGCCGCGTCTCCAAGCTGCCACTGTCGCCGCTCTAGGCCGGTGATCCAGCTACCTCTACATGGCTACCGACGTCGCCATCTAGGCCGTTGGTCCCGCTACATCGCCTTATACTTCATCCAACATGATTCATCGCCAGCGTTGCCGTATCTTCCTCGACTACACTTCGCTCTTCTCCGACAATCGTGTGCTGCTCCGGCAATTCTCCCTCTACGCCGTTCTCGCGCCGCGACCGTCTTGGAGGCCTTCTCTACTAGTCTCCTTCGACATTGGCGTATGATTCATGGTGGTCCCCTACCTAGCCCGCGCGGTATTGGCAACACCGTTGCACGTGTTCGTCCCGAGTTGTCCCCGTGTCTGGCAAACCCGGCGTGACGTCTCGTCTTTCACGGTTCGACTACATCGGCTCTTCGGCGTCATCTACCTCAACGACTGCCGCGATCGTGTCACCGTTATCGTCTTCCGTGTGTCCTTGCGCACCTTCGTCCACGACGCCTTCCCGTGCGTCCACGATCACTCTACGACGCCTCATGCGCTCCCTGCGGCTCGGCTACCTCGACATCAGCTTCCTAACTTCGGCTACATCGACCACGGCTACTCTACGCACGGCTTCATCGATCACGGCTCCCTCGCATCCATCGCTTTGGCTACGTTGATTATGGCACAAAGGGCTATCATCCGTGTTGAGCACTCTTGCCGGTTTCTTCTCCAGTCCAAGTGTCCGCGCTGCTCACGCTTGAACTGCGGGGGGATGTTAGAGTATATGGTAGGTAGGATCATATTAGGATATGATTGATTTGTGTGGACTCCTTCCATATATGTAATCCTTCCTTATCTCCTCCCCCATGTACTCCTATATATATCGGCCCCCTGAGGCTCAACACAATTGTGATCCACGTTACGCAGTATCTCTCTCATACTATCTAACATGTACGTGTATAGCACATATTCTACATGCGCTGTCCGTGCCTTCGCACGCACCGCAGTCGCAGCCCTCGTGTTCACCGTTCACGACCCCGTCGTCATCGGCCCTACACGTCCGCCGCGCCACACCACGCTCGCCGGCTTCGCCCTTCCGTCACTGGCCTCCCTGCCGCTGCGGATCCGCGATCGCCGCGTGCGTCGGGCACGCCGTCCATTGCGTTACCCCTCCGATCTCTCCGGTTGCCTTCAGTCACGGCCGGCCCCGTCTTCTAGTCACGTTCCGCCATCGCCGGTCTAATCGCGAGCGAGGTCGTCGCCTCCGCAACGTCCTCGTTGTCGCCATCGATCTCATCGCCACGACTGACGATCTCCTGTAGATGTGCGATCCCCACCTCGTGTTTCCTCCTCCACATGTCTTCTTGATCCAATGTTGAAACCTTCAGCTCTGATACCACTTGTTATAAAAGTTAGTCAATATAGCGGAATAACGACTAATCTTCCCGATCGCTTCAGTCATTGATCATCCAAGACATGTCAAATGACGACACAGTAACACACAATATTTGTTAACGAGGTTCAGCCGAAGCCTACATCCCCGGGGCTCTGATTATGGACGCTCCTTCCTAACCAATATAACTAATAGCTAGCTGCTATGAGTCTATGGCCACGCCGCCACCATCTCCCTGCGTGTCTACGCTACATTGTAGTCGCCATGGTGACATTGTGGTTCCCCCTCTCTACTTAAGAGAGATGTTGGATTACAGAGTCCGACTCTAACTCAACCCCCTAACACATATTATAACTCCAAGTCCAACTGTAGCTAAATAGGACTAGTATATTCGACACCTATTCTAACACTATTATCTTTAAGGCAGTTCACAGCAAGGCACTTACGGGACGTTTTATATACTGTCTCTACAACTAACTAGCGGCATAACAAAAGTGTCTCTACTGTGCAAAGAAAAAATCTCTACGAACCAATTCTGTTGTAGTGGGGATTGTTAGCATGATCGAAGCTGGAACTAGGATGGCCCCGACTCGACAATACAACAAACCATCTCTAATAAGATGTTTGGATTAAGCCGTTTTATTATTCGTCTCTATTTTCAGAATCACGATTAGAATTAAGACGTAGTTTGGGACACTTTGAAATTGAAGCATGTTGAGACGTTTTGGAACAAACTGAGACGTCTTATGGATGTTTCATTTCTATGGAAGAATATAATATATTTTTAGTTAGAATTAAGACGTAGTTTGAGACGCTTTGAAATTGAATCGTGTTGAAGCTTATGTTGAGACGTCTTATGGATGTCTCATTTCTATGGAAGAATATAATATATTCTTTAAAAAATAAAAGCAACGTAGTATAAAAGGAGGAATTATAAGATATTTTATAGATGGGGTAAAAGAGAAAAAATAACAATGCAAAAAAAACAGGACTCGAGCTCTCAACCTAACGCACACAACATTACCAGCTTAACCAAGTGATCTAGAAGAGGAACTTGTTGGAAAGTTAAGTTACTCAATATACTGCAGGTGTGTCGATTTTTTTTTGTTTCCTCCTTTTTAGAGCAGGGGTCTCCGATCAGATCCGATTAAGAGGGAACCGTAGGTCCTTTTGGTGGCGGGCAATACCGCGACGGCGACGGAGGCCCTGCCCCTCAGCCGCCGTGCGCCAACGCGCGTCCGCTGCCATTGGCGGCGTCTCCTTGTCTGTCGTCCGCGACCTCTGATACTTGGCAGTTGGCAGCCTCTGCACTTACGCATCTGGCCATCGCCGCCGGTGGATTCAGCGTCTCCGGCCCCCCGCATCTCTACTTTGGCTCGACCCTCTCGTCGCGAGACACCAACGCCCCTGCCACTGTGCCAGTCTCAGGCCACAGCACAAGGCAAGGATTACTTGTGAATGCCTCAACTATTTTCTATTATTTTATTTTTCGCGAACACCATCTTTTCCATTATTTTAATTAGATGATAAATTGTTCACTGTTAGGGTTAGTGTTAGAGTCTTTCTTCGATTAATTATCTGAAGAATAATCTAAGAAATTGGTTTGAGAAGGCACCATATCGGACGTCAATTTTCTTGGGAACATGCCTTGGAGGATTTGGCTAGTTTTCCTTATTTCTGAAGGCACGTTCTCGTGCAAGAAAACCTGCTGCTTTCACTATATAAGATCCCTGCAGGCAAACAACACTAATTCTTAAAAAAAAATTATTAGGTGAAATTCAGTAGTTTACACGTAATGTTCTAGATTAATATCATGTGTGTTAGTACTGACTGTAATTCAGATCTGACAAACAAGCGAATCTCAATCATCCAAATAGAGTAATTTTTTAAACGAACATCACAAAAAAGTGCGATGTTTCAAATCGATATAGCAGGAAAAAATTACAAGACTGCAGTCTTGAAAGGCTACAATCAGGGAAAATAACAGAACCACTATCAAACACCAGCAATACCTGCACAAACCAAAGACCTAGCACCGCATCGACCGCCGCTAAGCAGGATCTGATGCCGCCAAGCCTAGACATGAAGCCACCACTGAACCGCCCACCAATGCCTCCAACTAGCTAAAACATGAGGTCATCTGGACCAAGCGGAAAGGTTTGCTGAGAGAGAGGAAGAGAGATAAGAAGGATCCACTTGTCCCTTAAACAGACCTGCCACCGACTAAAAGCGTAATTGAAATTGTAAAGTTCTGGTATATTGTAAGCATGCCCAATGGGCCAATGTGTACTTCACAAATCAAAAGAAGATTCAGAGCTTGCCTACTCGATCAGCTCCTCGGCTCCGATAGTCCGGACTCTAGCTTGGCAAAGCAGGCACCGAGGCATGCCGCACGCAGCGACCTGGTCGCTTCTATCTACTTGGCACCTCCCCACCGGCCTCCTGCTAGTCCCCACCCATGCGCCTCCTGACCGCTTGTAGGCTCCATGCAACACCACTACGTTGCCCTAGGGGTGATAATGGGATAGGGAGCCTGGGCCCTTTCATAACTAATCTCAGCCCTTAAAATAGTTTTAGCTAAAATATCTATTAAATCTTAGACCAATTGTTTTGGGCCTAGCCCTCACATTTTGTAGGCTAAAATATTGGGGCTTATTACCACCCGTATGTTGACCACGCCGACATTGCTAGTTGGAGCCACACTTCCGCCGGCCACTGCCAAGTCTCCCTCGCCCCTCACTTCGTTGATGATTCGTCAGGCAGGCAACCACTTTGCCTCACCCTCGACCTCAACTCCTCAAGCTGACTGATTTGTTGGGAGAAAAGAAACAAAATGTGAACAAGAGAGAGGCGCTTTTGCAAAATTACTGAGATGGATGAGTGACGTGGAAAATATTCCTATGTGGAGCCCTTTGGATCAAAGATGCACCGATCTTGCCATTGAACCAATATATTTAATTTTTAAGTTGTTGCATCGGAATGCGCTCACAGATTAAGTTGTTGTACCATAAGTGTAATTTACTCTTTAAAATATATGTTATAGCATGTCCAAAGAAAAGAACCTCCTGGGGCCTGGGCCAATTACTCTGGTGGTGATGAGAATATAAAATTCACATGAGCCAAAATTCTAGCATAGAGAAAGGGCCATAGAGCCTATAGAAAGCTCAAAACCATTACCACTATTTATATCTGGTTAAGTAGCAATGCAACAATGTTTAGCACCAGTACATCCATGCCCAGCATAGAAATCTACACTTGACTCAAGATTTTGAGCTTGTTTATTTCGTGGTCAAATTCTACGTAATTTTAGCACATTTTGATATTACCAATTTTTGGAAGCATTGAATTGTTTGGTTTGAAGCTTTGCCAAATATTAGTGGAGTTTTTGTGAGAGAAAACTTCGGAAAATATTAAAATTTGATAGGATGGTATCGATAAGGCTATGTTAGTTTATTACCTCGCTAAATTTTATATCATCAAAATTTTAGTATGGTTGAAATTAACAAAAAAAAATGTCCTTCATTTCCTCCCGTTGCTTTTCCCATCCTTTCTCCCAACCATTGCTTCATTGCTTGTCCTCCGTTTATTTGTCACCTGGAGGCAAGCCCATATGACTCTCGGCCCACTGAGTTTCCTGCCTTATTTTCTCTACGGAATGAGTCCACTTTGACTCTCTCAAATATAGTTCCAACCTAGTTTATATCTCTAAACCGTAATACCGGATATCTTGACCCTAAAAACTATTAAAACCAGTATAATTTGACTTTATCAGCGGTTTTGGAGGTCGGTTTCACTGATACGGTGCTTTGACTGGTTCAACTTGATGAGTCCTCCTGTGGGGCCCACCTACCAGTGACCCTTATCTTTCTTCTCTGTCTTCCCTTTCCTCTACTCGCTTTCGTCTCCGACGGAAGAAGCAGGGCGCGATAGTGACGAGAGGAGGCCATCATCGTGACGCCGCCCCCTCATTCCCCTTCCGCTCACCTCCGTCGTGGAGGAGGGAGTAGGGGTGGATATTCGGTCTGACCGAAAATTTCGGTCTCGGTCTTCGGTCTTTTCGGGCTTTGAAAAGTGAAGACCGAATTTCAACACAAAAATATCAGGACTGATAAATTCAGTCTCGGTCCTGACTGAAATTCAGCAACATTTTCATATATGCAAAGAAATAATGGAAATTTCAATACAAAAATCACAAAAAAAATTCATAAGTAATTATGAGTAAAGACTCTTATTAGGTTGCATTCCTATAAGAAGTAGGGATGTGAACATTAGAGTTTAATCCTATTGAACTTAGTGGATTGTAGGTTGCATTTAGACATTTTTTTGTTAATTCGGTCTTTTCGGTCTATTCGGTTACCCGAGGAAACTAACCGAATTGACCGAACAAAATTCGGCCTTTAACTGCCTAGGACCGAATTTCTCGGTCTCGGTCTCAGTCTTTTCGGTTTGGTATTTTTCTGCCCACCCCTAGGAGGGAGCACGAGTAAGGATGGTGGCGGTGGTGAGAGGGAAGGCCATCGTT